ATTTCACTTCACGCAGAGGCAAGTGAGGGTATTGAATAGAATTTCTCTAGCTGATTGTGAGAAGGGTTTGCCATACCCAGAGTTATACGATACTTGTTTGTCCTACTGTTTGTTACATTGTAGGTTGAATCTGCTAACAGCATTCATTTGTAGAAGTCAAAAGTCATCACACTCCCACTTCCAATTACTGAGAACTAAAAATGACATAAGAAAATCTAAAACCAAACTTGTTTTGGTCATTTTTAAATTTTCCAGTGCCCCCCCCCCCTTTTCCTGTTCTTCCCTGGCCTTTCATCTGTACATTACTATTACTATATTCCTTTAACCGTTACATTTGAGAATTTTAGCACACTAACGACTTAAGCTCAGCCACTACGGGCTGCTGCACGTACTCCTACGTTTAGGTGTGACGCGATTTCTTTAGCCGATAACTCGATATAGCTCGACTCGGAAAGGATCCCCGCCTCACCGCCGCGTCGGTTCGGGTCGCAGCCTGCGGGGGTCGCAAGAGCAGCAGCACTACACAGCAGCACTGTACCACGAGAATTGGGGACGCAACAAATCGGCTGCGTTTCCAGCGGCAGTTCAACAAACAAGGCTGAGGGGGTTGGGGGTGGTGAGGCTGCTGTGGTCGCTGGGACTTCCCTCGGAGCAAGTTTGACGCGAAATCGCCCCGAGGATTACCAGGAACACGACAGGCAGTGCCGCGTGCCGCGCCGGCGGCCTGCCTGGTCATAATTGTTACCCCCACGACACAACTTTGGCAACTACAAATATAGGCCCCCGCGCCCGCGCGCTGCCTGTTCTCGTTGCAATAACTGCGCAATAATGCCGATGGAAATGAATACGCGCAGTGTTCGTCGAAAGACGATCAAATTGCTCGATAATAATTCGGCGTGGGGATTACTCTTCTCCTTTCGACCGGTACAGTCGTTCTAGCGCCACCGCCGGCGTGTCTGGACGCTCGTCTCGGAACCAGTTATGCCCCTCGCGGGTCGGAACGCCGCTGCCGCTACCGCCGCTGCTGCTGCTGCTGACTGATTGCGTTCATCGGATTTGTCAGCGAGACTCGCGAGGAGCAGGGGCCCCAGCGTCGACGATGAATCCATCACCCCTCCTACCGCACCCCCTCAGGGATCCGCCCCCTTGCTGACTGATCTGCGCGGAATAATAGCGACAGGCGGTGAGGCGGTGCCTGGGAAAGGG